AGAAATTCGCGATTCTCATACATACATTGTAGGAGACCAGAGGAGCAAAATGGCAAAAGGGCGGGTTGCGTTTTCCGGGGGGGCAGACGCGAAAAGCAAACTAAACCGCCGCCACTGGAGACCACTTTTCAACACTCAAATTGACACACAGCCAGGGACGGAGCAGAGATGCAGAGATGCGGAGATGTAGACACATTCACGGCAAGGATGCACGGCATTCAATTTTGTGTAATCATCGTGGGGAGCGGGGCAAACTGAAGCTGCCCCGCCAACTGAAACCGGAGACGACTCCCAGTTCGCATCCAGATTCGCGATTGTGGCGAATCTTTTGCATGCTCCATCAGTGAGAAAGAATAGTACGCAAACAGAAACTAAAATATCGAAACCAAAGCCATTCTAATTAGAAATTTGTAATGCCAAGTCTTGCAAATGTTAAATGTTTATGTCTTATTTATGTAACTAATGTGCAAGGAACTTCGGGAAATCCTGCCCAGATGTAAGATTATAGTGTTTATAGGGTAATTTCGGGTTACCTTCAGAGGATTTTAATGTCCTTCCTACCCATTTTAAATTACGCTGAATTATTTAATGTTCTAACCTATGTTTTCTCTCAGTGAGCGCACACCCTTGCACCAGCAACCTAGCCATGTTAACCCATGACGACCGACAACATGCAATGTCGTCGTGTCTGTCGCTCCGCTCGTTCACAAAAACCGCAGCCCAATGGAGCGGCAAGGGAAATGGGGAGCCGAGAGTTGTTCAGATTGCGGCTCCATTGCCAGGATTCTCCACTTCTGATACCCCACCCCCTCCCCCTGACCCCGCTGGCCTCGTTCATTTGCCTGCGTTTTGGCTAGTAATAATCAATTTGCAGTTACAGCAACCAAAATGTGTGTAACCAAATTAAACACAAATATTTTTGCTGTACCTTGTGACCGCCTCCAAAAGGACGAAAGGACTAAAGGACGAGGGCGGCGGGCGTTTGCCAAGGCAATTAACGACTCGGTCCACAATCGACCAGAACATGGTCAACAAAGGACACGCATAGAGAGTTTAGTTTGATTTATGTAACGGAAGGTGAAAGCAGTCCAGTCCCACTCTCCGCTGCCCACACTTGGCCAACTAATTTGGCCTGCTCTCTCCAATAATTATTATTGGCCGGTGTGAGGGGCAGATGCTGGTTCGTTAAGCAACCAAAGTTAATTGGGTTTTGATCGACCCGCTGCCCACAGACATCTCGTTGCAGATTTATGACGATATCCATAATTAACAAAATCGCTTTCAAATGAATACTGCTTAATCAATTTTAAGAGTTGTTGTCTTTTAAATATATAGTTGACACATTTATTTATATCATGTTATTTGAAATACATATATATGCGTGATTCGCGTTTATGAAATCCTTTGAGAGCAATTAGTGAGTAGACATCTTTGACTATTCCCTCTATAATTTCGCTGTTAAACTTAAATTGCGCCACAAAGTATACATCAGAAATTGGTTGTGCACGAGCTTTACGTTTGGCCTGCATTTTTGCGGCGCACATTTTGATTTACGGGTCGCGATTAAAAAGATGAATTGTGGCATTTTCGACAGGGTGGAAGAGGCGGGAATGGGGGTGGGAATGGGAATGGGGAAAAAGCGCAGGCAGAGACATCGCACCACGCCCACCTGCTGAGGTGTGGCACGTGCATCACGTAATGGCCGTGTGCACAATCCTTTCTGGCTTATTTGACCCACATTTTGCATATGGCCGGGAATGCAGCTCCACAAGGGTCAAACATAATGTCTATCCTTGTGGATAGCTGCATTCTCCACTTTCAGCCGCCTCTTTTGCGGCTTTAATATGCATATGAGTTCCTGAGATGGCCCAAATATTTGTTTTGTGTGTTTGTGCGTTTCGTTGCCCTGGGTAAAACAATTCCAGAATATTTATAAACAGAATAAATTCCTCTTTCTCAGGGGTGTGGTCTCTGCGGGAAATGCCTTTATAATTTGTTATTATTAATTTTGCACATTTTTTTGCCGCTCCCCATAGCGCATACATCGCCCTAAGGTTGGCCACTCACGTCTCACTTTTGGAGCGGAAAGTTCCTAATAATCCTTTAGTCCGGGACACGTATGAATATGAATGGAACGGAGTTCGGGGGGAAGTGTGTGTGTGTGTGAGGGGGGGGGGTCTTTGGGGGAATCCTTACCCTTCGTTTACACTTAAGACCCGTTCATGCGGCAAATTGATTTAGGCATAAACAAGCCCAGAACGCTCTTAACCCTCTAAAGCCCAGAGCTACGAAAAAGTGGCAAATAATTTTGGCTGCCTCAACTGGCCTTGTTGGAAAATCTGCTCATTCTGGGCGTTGAACCGCATGTGACCAGGCGATGTCAGTTTTCCGGGGTATCCTTTTGCCACTCGCTCCTCTACCATAAAACTGGTCCATTAAAGTCAACAAACTAACAGCCAGCTGACGGTTTTAAGGGGGTTTTCTGGTTTTTTTGGGTTCAAGTTTGAGTTTTGGGTTCGGGTCAGCCGCCTTTGTTTACCCCCATCGCCTGCTGTTGCTGCTATTATTGTTGCTGCTGTGCAAGCAAACAGCAAAGGTGAATATCAGTAGGGGTTTTCCATGGGTCGGGTCGCAGGAAAAACAAATTAAGCAGTTATTTGGGTTGTTAGACGCTTCAGCCACGCACATCAGCCACACACATCCCGAATCTCATCCTGAGTGTTGCTCTGCTTTCGATGGCCATACCCTTTATTAGACAGTGAATAGCGCCACTCTTGACCTAAATGATGTCATATAACGTAAATTATGTAATAAAGTGGCTTGTCTTAATTAAATCAATTAGGTGTTATTGGAACTCTTGATAAATTGTTAGGTCACTACAGGTAATAAATTATTTCGTTTTTATTGTGATAAGTTTGATACAAGCACAGCGTTGAACAATCCTAAGTAAGCTTTTTAGCTCACATTCAATGATTTAATACCCAGAATATTCCACTTAGCACAAATAAATTCCTTCGACACATTAGCACTCAATCCCAGACCCTTCTCCGGCATTCCCAATTATTTCAATTAATAAATCAAAAATTGAACCCAAAGTAAGACCACAAGCGAACTTTGGCAACATCCTTCGAAAGGAAACTAAGTGCGTAGGCCGCTGAATGTTTGTGTGTGTATGCGTATGCAGTTGGATGAATGGAAATCGTTGGCGGCTGATCCCAAGATTTGCATAATTTTATTGTGTGTTGAACTTTCGACTAACCAACCCGGCAACCAGTAGACCAATCTGTGTGGGCCAGCTCGGGAGCCGATTGGCCATGCCCACAGAATCCCCACAAAAAGGTCACTCAAAGTCCACTTACCGAACTTACTCTCGGCCCACAGTGGCCCCAAAATCTTGGCCTAAGCCCCAAAAGTCTCTTTGTGTGCTCGAGTGTGTGTGATTTGGGGCCGAATGGATGTGACCGATAAGGATGTGTGCCGTGCACTCAAGTTGCACAGGGAGACGCAAAGCGGAAGCTGGTAAAAGTTCGAAAATGGTCAGAAAAATTCACAAAACAACTAAATAAACCACAATAAGCCAAAAGTTTAGGTTGGGCTCGAAATGTTCTGCATACTAGTGTGCACTGTGGAAAAGTAGAAGAGACGCCACCAACATTTTGAAATATTTCTTAGCAATAAGGTCACTGTGGAAAATATTAATCATCAGGAAACTCAAGCCTGTGATACCGACATATTTTTCATTGATTTCTGTTATGCACCAGATAAGGATTTCAATTGTTAGCTGGATAGATTCATCTCATGTTTTTCCCATGCAGACTTAACACACTTTGTTTCTGGCGTTTTATTTACTTTTTTTTCTGGCTTTGTGGCTTTGGTTTTCATGCAACATAATATGTTGCATACTCGCAGGCAGATGGCAAAAGAAAGAAACTTTCTCCTCGCCTGTCTGCCGCGTCTGCTTTGTCTCAGCGAGGCGTGCATTCGAAAGCACTGCCACTGGCCACACCCACGCACCTGGGCGGGAACGGCAGCAGCAATCCAGCAAAAACCAGGTCCTGCGAGCGGCAGGAATCTAGGTAGCATCAGCAGCTGAAAGTGGAGGAAGAAAAACAACTTATTACTTTGACTAATCCTATTATGCGCATGCAAACGTGCGCCGAGGAGGAAAAAAACTTTGCGAAGGAAAACTACTTTGAAGTCAACTGTCTGCCCGCCTACGCTTCTCAGCCTTCTCAGCCGTCTCAGCCGCTTTCACCTTTCTCCGCCGCCTTTCTCTGGCATTCATTCCATTGAATCGTGCACTCACTCAAGCGCCGCTAAGTTGCCTTAGTGGCTGCTCATGCACTGCGCGAAATGGCTGGGCAATAGATAACGCAATTTGGCTTTGGCGACGCCAGTGAAAGGATCTTCTTCACAATGCTTCTTGACAATGCTAATTCCTGTGGAGTAAACTAAAGGATGCAGTGGATGGAACAGTGGGACGCTTAGGGATTCTAGCATGTAAAGCATAACTAACTATGGTTGCACATATTTATTTATAGGCATTATTTTTGTATCCAAAACTGCCGAGTCCTTATTAGTTCGAATGGCGGCCCTAGAATTGTTAAATAGTATTTCTACAACTGCCCCAAGCTGTATATTTGCTCCATTAAAAACTTTTGCTTCAGTTTGCTCGACCTTTCCCCGTGATCCAACCTAATTTATTTTCAAGTTGTAAAGTTGCGAAAGTTTTTCGTTGACCTCGTTCGGTTTTAGCCCACAGTCTTGCTCCCAGCTGCACCTGCCCCCGACTTCTTGTAGTTAATTTCCCCCACTTACCTGTCCATTATGACCTGGTGCTGGACCCCAGATAGTGCAAAATGCCGCGACAGCATCTCAAGAAGTTTTCCACGCGCAAATCCATCTACTCTGGCCTAAGCCGATTTGGCTTCCTCCTGGCAAAAAGATATCAACCCAACTGACCGCGCCGCGAAATCCCATTAATTGATTTTCCAGCCAACTTTCTTGTAACATTTATTTTTGTTTATTTTTGTATTTTTACCAAAATGCATGTTCTCATCATAAATTACAGAGAGTGTAGAGCGTGAAAAAACTTACTTAAACATAGGAGACGCATAGAGTCAAAGACATCAACTAAGGGCACTTAAACATTTAACATTTAGAGTTGAACAAGGCTTCATTGTTGTACATAAGCTTGTTTCACATTAAGCTTGATATGTGATAGGTAGATGGCTACCATATATGTATGTAGAACAGATCTGTGTGTTGTGAATGTGCAGCTCGGAGTCTGTGAGTCTCTGCGGTGAGTTGGGGGTGGGGGCTGGGCCTGGGAATCAAGCCGAGCCAGTCCGATTCGAAATTGAAGTCCCGCCTAGAAGAGCAGGGAGAAGAGACTCCTCACGCCAGTGGAGCCAGCTCCGGAACCGAGGGTAAAGCCCGTGCTGGGCGTGCCGCTGCTGCGATGCCGCGAGGTGTGGCTGGAAACGTTAGCACGGACACGGTCGTAGCTGGCAACATCCTGAAAGGCAAAATATATATCGTAAATGATAGTCGAAATGTTCAGATCTGTGTAGCATATCGTACTGGTCGAGCACGAACTCGAGGTGTCTGCAGTGGCGGCAGATGTCGCAAGTGCCGCATGTGTTGTATATGGACAAGACTCTCACCTCTTTGTCGGCATTGGCCAGCACCGAACGCATCGAGTTGGCCACCGGCCACTTCTTCTTCATCACCAGGTTGTTGGGTGGATCATGTGCGGTTCCGGCATCGACGGACCAAATGGTGACACTGGCACCGCCGAGCACCTTCGATCCACGCGAGAACTTGAAGGCCAGCTCCTCATCGCCGGCAATGCGGGTTAGCTGCCAGCCCGTCAGATTGATCTCCTCGGTTCCCTTGTTGTGCAGCTTGATGAAGCGACCCTCCACGTCCGCTTCGATGATCTCCAGATCTCCCTTGGCGGCGGCATTCACCGAGTACTCGGACAGCGTGCGATCCTCGCTCTCATCGATCACGGTGCGGCGACGCTTCACGGCGCTGGAACCAGAGATGCCAGGTGTAGCCGAGCGACGGCCACTGGGCGTGACCCTGCCGGATCGGGAACTGGCACTGGCGGTCAAGTGGCTGCCATTGCTGGAGATTCCGGAATCGGCAGCGGGACGTCCGGGCGACTCGATGTTCAGACGACGCTCCTCGCCGCACAGCAACTTGTCGTAAGCGGCAATCTCGAGATCCAACGACACCTTGATGTCCATCAGATCCTGGTACTCCTGCAGCTGGTGGGCCATCTCGTCGCGCATGCGCTGCAGTTCGGCCTCCAAGGAGGCGATGTACTGGTTGTGGCGCTGGCGCTCCGTGTCCAAAAGGTTCTCCAACTCCCGAATGCGAGCCTAGTGCAATAGATGCAAAAGGGAATATTAAAATCACAAATGGAACTCGAAACTGCGAATTGCACTACTCACATTCAAGCCAGCATTGGTGTTCTCCAGATCCTGCAGCTTGGCGTTCAAGCCGTCGATCTTGGTGCGCATGAGACGAACTTCCTCGGTGGCATGAGCGGATCCCTGGGCAGCCCTATTGGCGGCAGCCTTCAGGTTCTGGATCTCATTGTCGTACAGCAGCTCGATCTCCTCGCGATTGGCACGCATTTGACCCTCGTACTGATCACGGAGTTCCTGGAGCGATTGCTGCAGCTTGGCCTCGTATTGGCGCGACAGTCTGCCATCGATCTCGCTGATCTCGATCTGGCGACGGGATCGGGTCTCGGTGAGCTCCTGGGTGTGCACCTGATCCTTGAAGGCCAGCTCCTCGCGCAGGCTCTGGTTCTGGTTCTCCAGATCGACGCGGGCCAGCGTCTCCGCCTCCAGCTGCTTGCGAAGATCATCCAGTTGGCGGCGCAGGCGCTCGTTCTCCAAAGCCAGCTCCTTGGCCTGATCCTCGAACTTCTTGCGATCGGCCAAGGACTGGTTGTACTTGCCATTCACGTCGTTGTAGCGAGTCTCATACAGGCGGGCATTGTTCTCGGCCACAGTTGCCTCCTTCGTCTTTTTGTCGAGTCTTAAATGGAAAATGGAAGTTGTTTTAAATGCATAATCTTTTATTACAAAGATAATAAAATTAAATTAATCATAAATCAATACCCTGGTCTGAGTAATCCCTTAGACGGTTCGTAAAAGCAATTTCGACTTTTATCTACATGTGCTATTGAATGACGTCACTTATCTATATAATAATAACTGAGTCACATTGCGACTCACATTTGTTTGCGAAAGCTAAACCGCTCTCTTTATATCGCAAATGTATTATTCATTTTATTTATTTAAATGTTATAGTCGCTTGGAAACTCGTTCATCGATCCTGCATAAAAGACTCAAATACTTAAACGTTTCGAGGTTTTTGTTTGCCTTGGGAGAAGTCGTCACATGCCATTAGCATAAAGTAGCCCGGCTATTTCTGACCAGTTCCCCTCTGCGCCCCTGTGATTTATGGGCGCTATCAGTTCAAAGCTTTTTATTTTTTGTATTTGAAATTCTATTTAGCCAAAAACAATCTCGCTATAAAAAAGTAGCTACGAAAATTCCACAAATAATCCGTGCATATTTTCGGATAGCCATTTTGGTCGTCAATCGGCGACTCGCGTGGTCGGCACGTTTTAATATATTCCTTATAACAATTGTCATGATTTCAACTATGGATAATTGACTTTGCATGCCTTGTGTTCAATAAAAATGTTATTTAAATTATGTATATAGTTTGCCGCCTTCTATGGCGCTTGTTTTGATTATTTTTGAAACCTTACTTTTATGGATTCCAAATCTTCTATTTTGTTTTAGCGTTTTTCTTTCGGTTTTTGCTGTTGCAACGAGAAAATGTAAACAGTTTTGGTAGCTAATCAAGAAGAGCTGTGTAGAAATGGGGCAATACAAACAAAATAGATTCAAGGTTGTTTTGTTTGCGTTCTAGATTTTCCTTATTTCCACAATTTTTTGTGCGTTTTGTGTGTGCGTGTTAAAGTTCCATTTTTGCTCCCCAATTCCTTCCGCTGACCTAATTTGTTTGTATGTATGCTATTGTCACCAAAGAAGCAAAATAGAAATATACTTGGCTATTTAAATTCTATAAAAAAATTAAAAATAATTAAGCACAGCCAGAAAATACAAAAAAAAATATAGTAGAAGAAAAATGGAAACTCAACAAAAGACAAATCTTATATCTATTCACATAACTCTGCTGCAATCTTATCGTATCTAATCAAATACAATTTCCTGTGTTATTCCGGTGCGTTTCTCCACGTTAAGGCACGCCTTAAGTAACTGAAAAATCAAGTTTACCCAACATTTAGGCACCGTGTCTTTTAGCCAAACTCTCAACTTCGTTAACACGTTGCAAAACACAAACAAAAAAATGTGGCTATTATGAATTAAAAGAGCTTTGGGCCTCATCGCGCAATAAATACCAAAAATAAATATTGCCTGATAACGCAAACGACGCGAAACGGAAATCTCGCAAATGGAAAACCTAAGCAACCAAACATTTGCTTGACATCACACCAGAAACTGGTATTACAAATGGATCTGTAACTGGGTGCCATGACATCATAGTCTTGTAACCTTCTTTGAGATTTAAGCCGGTATTTTGGTTCTTGTCATTTGATTTCCTATCATTGTTGCTTACCCATTGTCTGGGAACTAAGCATTTGCCTACAAATGCCCAGAGAATTCTGGAAGTGTAAATGCAAAAAATAAACAACACCGAAAGAGTCGAGAGAGTTCCCATGTGCGTGGCTTTCAAAATGTGCTTTTGGCATGACATCATCGGCCTCGCTCGCTCTCTCGCCCCGTTTTCTATCTATCTCTGTCGCTCCGTACATATAGAGAAAATAACCAACAAACCTAAGTTCGCTAAACGGAGTAATATATCTCAAACATACAGTAGTATGAAATGTGAAATTGACTTGCATTACATTTGTTATTATAATACCATTATGAATAGTAAAACAAAATATTGATTTTGAAAAGCTAGCTGAAACTAAAGTTCTAGCTAGCTTTAAAATTTCCTTGTTCCCAAAATCGATTTCACAACTTTGACAAGCAACTTTGACAACAACAAAAATGAATAAAATTGAATAATGCCAGAAATCACGACTGGCTGTACTATTGCTTTTCCGCGCTCTGCATTATTGATGCCTCCTTTTCTTGAGAAAGTTACCCGCATTTTCTGCCTGTGCCTCGGTTCAGTTGCCCCGCATGCGTATATACTCGTACATATGACATCACTGGCTGATAATACGCTGTTACCAATTCCGAACGCGCTGTCTTAGAGCCTTACCTCGGCTTCAAGTCGTCGTTCTCCTCCCAGAGACGCTTGATATCGATCTCCAGCTTGGCCTTCTCCTTGGCCGTCTCATCGAGCAGCTTGCGGGCGGCGGCCAGCTCCTTCTCATAGACCGCCTTCAGATTGGAGGTCTCCCTGTTGACGGTGTCCTGGGCGAGATTCAGTTCCTGGGTGAGGCGGCTGTTCTCGTTCTCCAGGTTGCGCATGCGATCGATGTAGCAGGCCAGGCGATCGTTCAGGTGCTGCAGCTCCTCCTTCTCCTGCAGCCGGCTGGTGCGGGTGGGCGAGGTGGGCGATGTGGCGCCCACCCTTGAGGAGGTGGATGCCCCGCCCACCGGCGTGGAGGTGGAGGCGCGCGAGACGCGTGTGTTCATTGTGACGCGGCGTGCTGTCATTTTTGCAATACTTTTGTTTGTTTGCGCGGTGCGAGGTGCAAGTTGCTAGTTCTTAAGTACGTAATCCTCTCAAGTCTCTTTCAATATTTTCCAGACGCTTGGAGCTGAATGTTTTGCTTGTACGTCCGCTTGCTTTGACGACTAAAAATTGACTGAAACTGCTTCGAAACGAAACGAACGGCTATCATCGACAAAATTAGTCGTCGTCGGCGGCAGCAGCGGTCATAAAAAACCAAATACAACACGAATGTGGCGCTGCGCTCTCTATTTTTTTTCCGCTCTCACCTTTTGGCTTTATTATTATTGTTGTTTCGCCTTCCACCACATTCGTCTTCCCATTCCCATTCCCACTCCCAATCGCATTCGTAAGTGTTGCTCGGCTTTACTATGTACAGCTGTTTGTGCCTCTGGAGCTCTAAATAGAAATCGCCTCGAACGCACCCAACTACCCAACTCAACTAACTGAAAACAACTTCCTTGAATTTCGTTTAACTTTTCTGTAAAGTTCTTAAAAATATATATGAAATATATATAAAAATATATATTTTACAATATGTTTAGGAAACACGTGTTTGTGTTCTAGCATTCAACGTATAATGTTCTACTGAAGGGAGCTGCACTGTACCTTTTGGTGGAATCCCAGCGATGCATTCCAATCTTCAATGAGATCTTCATTGAGTTGCCCAAGGTTAATGAACGGCAAGTGGTACGAAATTAGAAATGGTAGTACAAAAATAAATGGACTGAGTTTCAACGTAAGACAGAAGAAGGTGTTAAGCTTTTAGGGAATATTTTGTGAGATCTGAAAACTTTGGAAAGTATCCAGTGTCCATATTATTGAAGATTGCTTAAGGCCAATTTCCCTTCGGCATCATTACACTTTTCCGCCCGTTCGCCACACATTTTCATTATGATTTGTTCCACTTTGGCTGGCCGCATATGTATATGAATGGCCCTTAATAGGGATTGCGCCACATGAAAATCGACCACAATGAACGCCCACATATCATCAGTTCCGTGCCATTTGGCCCACAGTTCGTATGCACAATGTGTCACTCCAGCTTATCGATCAGCAGCGGGTCAATTATGGCCCAGTGACTTGTCCAAAATTATGAAATACGGCTGGTAGTAGCACCACTACATTCCATTACCCTGGTGGGTGGGTGGTAGGTGGTGGAAAACGGCTTGGCGTAGTGTCAACTTGTCATAAGTGAAATATTTATTGACATTGAGTTTACTGGACCGCTTCTGTAGCGCTCCCACAGTCATAATAATAAATAAGCTCTTAAAAGTGGTAAAGAAATTTTCCCTTTTGGCCAACTTTTATTTTCAAATGCAAAAATAGCCGGCAAACAGTGTTTTATTTTGCCCCTGAGAATCGGAATGAGAATGAGAGCGCTGGAGAGTTTTGAATTCTCTAGCTGACACGCTGCGAGAAAATATGTGAACTTCCATGACGTCACCACCAGAGAGTCAGCCAAGCGAAGGAAAAACGTAAAGACGGCGAAAAAAGTAAATCGAGTATATACGTAGCACTGACCTCCAAAACGTAGCCGCTTCTCTGTGACGTCACCGAATTATTTTTAATCATGAACGAGCGTTGAAATTATTTCTTGCCCAAACTCGACACTTCCCTTTACGAAATTATAATTATACTTATGATGCGTTTGTAAGCTCTGAGCGTTAGCTAATTAAAATTAATTAATGAGCCCAATTGTGTGTGTGGAAAAAAACGAGCACTAAAGCCTAAGCATCTGTTAAATGTTTGTGTTTGTTGTCTCATTTGGACTTTGTTTGGCTTTATTCTTATTCCGTTTTTTGTTGTCATGAAAGTATTCTAGCTGAGTTGTTTTTAGCTTGATGAATAGCTCGGGATTTGGATTACAAATTGATAAGAAATATGGCAAAGGAAATTTACTCAATTAAATGCTTGCGTATGACAGTCTGAGGCACTTTAATTCGTCCATTAAATTGGAAAACTATATGTATCTTGTCAGCATTTGTATCTATGTATCTAGCTACTGTAGGGCTGGTTCATGGCTGTGTTATTTAGTATCTGTATGGGCACTGCGCTCTTAGGGGCAACAGGCAATTTTGCACTTTTATTTAAGGTTGTTATCATCTCAACGAAATGAGAAACATTCTGGCACGCCATTTGACACAACAAGTATCGATTAACCCAAAATAAAGAAATGACAAATAAACAAACAAGTAGCCCGCAGGGCTTTCAATTTGTGCAAACTCCTGCGAATAAATATTTATTTGGCATTTATTTGCTTTCTGTTACATTTGCTTGTCTATATTGGCCTGCTGCGCCTATCGTTGAATAAAGCATACACAAAGATACTGAATAAACTGAATAAACTGAAATCAAACAAAATTAAAGTTAGCTTCTCTTTTTGGACGCCGTCGAAACTTGTTTGTCTTTGCTGAATATTTTTGGCTCTTTTCGTTTTGCTTGTTTTTTCGAATTTGTCAAAGCAGCTTCATAACTTCGGCAGTTGTTTTTTTTACATTTTCATTTGCGTTGTAGCGACAGCTCCGAAGTTTGCCAACAATAATGACATCATCGTCAGCTTAAAGTTTGAAGTCATGGCAAATGACGTTATAAGATGAATGAACGCCAAGAGCCAAATTGCTGCCGATTAAGCTGAAGAGGTTCTTAAGGAATCATTGCGAATTTAATCGCATATAAGAGCTTTAGAAGCTCAAAAGTATTTCATTTTGACTCTTAAACGTGTTTGAATAAATTTTTGTAATGAAAATAAAAACTAATTTGAACCAAAATCGAAAATTCCCAAGGTATTTCTATTTGCACAGCACAGAAAAACTAAAATAAATAAATAGTGGAATCCGTGAATTTTTCATCGGTCACACTTGCATGTTTAGAAGCTCACTTTCCATTCCCCCCATAAAATCATTTATTTGAATTTTCGCTAATCCAAAAACAACGCCAAAGTACAGTGCAACCCGCGCATTTACACATCATCGCATAAGCCCACAAAAAACCAATCCCACAACGCTCCTGCAATCGCACTTAATTAACGCTGGTCAACAAGTTTAGATCGATAAATTTCTGTGCAAAAACACGTCCTAACGTCGCATATAAAATATATGACAACGAGAAAAAAAACAAAAAGTAATATGGGTAAAATGAATTCGGTTCGAAATTGGTTTAGCGATTTGTTGCTGTTTTTGCTTAATTGTCATAAGCCAAAAACCGCAAAGGGTAAAATTGTTTGCGTATCGGCGAGCGTGCTTAAATTTTTAAATATTTCTACGTGTTAGGGGCAGAAGTCTTGTTTTCCGATTTTCATAGAGTTTTGTACGTTTTTCGACCGGCGCCACAATTCAGTGGAGATTCGGAGTTATTTATGGAAATTAAAAGTGAAGTCAACTGCATGCGCATACGCCATGTTGTACGTCTTTCGTGTTTTGTTTGCTTAATTTTGCACTTTCCGACGTTTGTTAATTTTTAATCAACGAAAGTTGTAGGAGGAAGTTGATGTCGAGCATTTACATACAATTTTTTACTTATTTTCTCATTTTTATCTCTGTGTTCATGTCTCTTTTAGCTACTTGCATAAGTTAATTTGGTGTTTGTCTTCGAAGGAGTTCGCCTTTTTCACATTTCTCTGTTTTTTTTTCTCGTATTTTGGATGTTGAGTGTTTTGGGTGTCACTGAGTGCAACTTTTAGCCTGGCCAACAGAGAACTACATTTTATGTATGCAGCTGCCTTTGCACAGCTTGAAACTTTCAACCCGCTTGCCACGCCCACCCACACGCTCACACACACCCACACACACACACTACATACACACACTACATACACAGATGCAGCGCGTTGAGATGCCCCAAGAAGTATGCTAAGAAAAATAGTATGCAGAAAATGAAAGCGACGTTTTCTTATTGCGCCGAAGAACAGGAAACGAAAACTTCTGCAATGGCATCACCCAACAGAATTCAATTTGTAAACATATATGCTTTTATGTAAGCTGCAGCAGTGTGTCTCCTAAATCTGATTATCTAAAAAACCTGTGAAGATACCTTAGATACCGTAAAAATAAATAGGTTCACCGAACTGCATGCAAATCCAATATTATAAAACCTAACAATATATTTGAAATATTTGAGGCTCTAATTTCCTTTGGCCCCAAGCAATATATTAGTTGAATTTTCTCTTCACAAAAAGTAAACTGTTCTGTTTTAAAGCTGCATTTTTCATTTTACGCACAAACATGCATTAATCTTCTGCAAAGTGCTAAAGTAACCCTTTGCCAAAAGCTTCAATTAAAAATATCTTAAAAGTACGGCAGCAAACAGGAGCTTTGACTACGAGAGACCAAAGGAAATTCTTGCAATTAATTGAAGCAAATTTCGCCAGACATGTAAACTGAACATTGCATAAAATATGTGCAAGTAAAGTGCATGCAGCAAAATTGTTGGGCAAGCTGTTAATGGAATTCCACCCAAGTCAAGACAAATTTACATGTTTTGGTTCGTTTTCGGTGGCTGGGGAAGCCTTTAAAGCTCCAACTTAAGCCAAATACTCGTGCTTGCAGGCCGATAGGCATCCACCTGTTTTATTTGCCTACATTATCCACTCTATTGGGTCCTGGGCCTCCAGCTGCTTGCAGTTACCTCAGTCACTCGATCCACTTAATCATCGCAAACGCACACATCTATGCATGAACTCGATGCTGATGCAATACGGAAATGAAGTTCTGGCTGCCTTCCTTTTCCGCCCGCCTCACCTGCTTTATGCTCCTTAAGCAGTGCCAGCTGCGATTGTTGCTGCTGCTACTGCTGCTGCTGCTGCTCCTGGTCCTCATGCTGCGATAAGTCTCCTGGCTGACATCCAAATGTGGCCTGGCAGCCACGAGTGATGGAAAAGAAACCGGCAACCGAATAAGAGATTCCCCGGACATGTGTAGCCAAGCAAATGGAATTACAGTGGGACCTCCTTAACCCACAAAGCAGACAATGCTCATGATCTTTACAAAAGCCACCTGAAAATGGAAAAAACCTTCATATATTTTATAAACGAATGTGCGGTTATACTGCACTTAAATCTTAATTTCAACTCGCTTGTTATGTAGTCGTTGCCCAATTTCGACTGTAGCTTTATGCTGCTGCAGGCAACTAAAAATGCTGGCTGTGGGGCATGGATCTAAGCCAATTAAACGCAGTTTGTTGGCCAATTAAAATGTGGGCAA